TGGCAGAGCTGTAACCAACAAAGACTCTTTGTGCAAATGGGGCAGTGTCACCTGACAGGTTTGAAATGTAACTTCCTCCTCTGAGCCAGGGGAACTGAATCTGAAAGACTAGAAGGATGGGTCAAAAGGAAGATAAAATTTAAAGCACCAGAAGGAGAGTTTTGTGCTTTGTGATGAAAAGAAATATCTAAAGCAAGAAGAAGGAATCCCGTCTTGTCGGAGTTGTATGTGAAATTGATGTAGAGATTTCGGTTGGCTGCAAGCTCCGTGTGAATCAAGGCTGAACTGGCAGCTGGAAACCCAAACAACCTTTGCCTGTGTTGGCAGAGTCACAGGTGTCTAGAGAGGGAGGTGGGAGCCCCCCGGGCTTGTCACAGGGCAGGCTATATCTGAAATGTTTAGGCTTAGCTCTGGGTGCACGTTTTAACACTTGAACATCCTGGCAGGATCCCCTTGGAGGATGGTATTTCATGCAGAAACCACACCACATGAGAAACCAGTGATGCTCAGTCTATAAAAACAATTTATGGTCAGAATAACTTTCTTCAAATACTTCATTGGTTAGATGGAAGAGGGAGCCTGGAGAGCTGAAGGGTTGAGAAGGGCTATGTCATTCTCAGATGATTGTAGACACCTGGTGCGGACCTCCACAGCTTTGAGCCCCTTCACCTCCAAATGTGCATCTTCATCCATCCTTTCATTTCCGCCTGCCCCAGAAGAAGAATAGTCCCTCCTCCCTTAGGAGGTTCCCGTCATCCTCTCCTATCTCCCATCTCTAGGACACACCCTGCCAATTACCAGCCTTCCAAAATCTTTAATTTTCCCTTCTCCACTGGCTTCTTCCCACAAGCCTGCAACTATGAGGAAGATAATGACTTGGGTGCTTATTATGTGCCAGGTGCAAAGAGATTTATATGCTTTGACTAATCCTCACACCAATCCAATGAGACAGGTGATGTCTTCTCCACTTAGAGATGGGGGAATGTAGACTTCGAGTTGTTCAGTGGCATTCCCAAGCTCACAGGGGCTAGGTACATCTCTCTCTAATACTCTGAACTGCACTTGCATTCAGGTTATTATGCAGTCCCCTCCCTCTCCAGTGGATCCCTTGCAGGAGCCTCTTCTTGTGTCTACTGCTTCATCTCCCACCTGTCCCTCTGCTGATGGCTGTTCTCTGCCTTTTCCCTCTGCAGAGGCAGCTCCCCCAATGGTCATCAGTGACCTGATGGTTAATCCAACAGCCTTTCCTCAGTGGTCACTCTACCGGGCATTGCTGGCCACACTCCCCTTTCTCCCCACCTCCTCCCACATGTAGCTGAGCTTACTCACTCCCACTACTTTACTTCTCATCTTGTCATCCATCCCCATCCAGGTCCCTCCTTCCAAGTATCACTAGTCATCTTAAAGGATCTGAGGACTCAGCGGAAGTTGGAAACCAGGGACCTGTGAGTGAAGTTTCCCTGGTATGTGTAAGGGTATGAGATGGAGTGCATGGAACTGAGCACTCTGGAGGGCACAGTTCCAATGACCTCACTCACATTGGGTGGAGTTATAGGGTAGAAACAAAGGGACCAGGAATCAGCATTGGTATAATCTCAAAAAGCAGAGAAAGCTGGGAGAGCCGAAGGCAGTGCTTAGGGAATAAGATGGTGAAGTTCAAGGAGAAAGCAAGCTGAGAGACCTTGGGGAAGGATGACTGTCAAGATTCCAGATTGTTGGTTGGCTCATCAAACACCCTAAAATCATGGCAGGAGATGGGTTTAACTTTCTCGACTTGGGCCTGCGTCCCATGTGAAGCTGTGTCCTCAGCAACAACAAGATTTTGTATCCCTTTGACTTGTCTTCAGTTTTCTAGTTTGCCAGCGTTTGGCATTCCCGTTCTGGTTAAACAGGGCCACGAATCCAGTGCTGTGCTGAGTGGCATAACTCCAGGAGGGCCCTCTACAAGAAAACCACTCCAATAGCACAGTTCCTGGGCACTGAGGCACTTATTGAATGAACAGAGGTTGAATAAATTCATTTCCAATTCAGTTCAGCAACATTCTTTGAGCACCCACTGATGTCAGGCTCTCTACGAGGGCCTGAGACCAATCAGGATGGGAAAAGTGAACAGGGACACAGCCTGCTGCCCAAGTGCTACTAGACTCACTGATTCTACATTAGCGTGAAACCTTAGAGGCTTCCAGACAAAGCCTTAAGCTCCCTCTCCTGGGCTCAGCATTTGCAAATTTCCTTTAGAACCCCAGAAACTCTTTAGCTTGATAAAAAAAAAAAAGTCCAAGAATATTTGGCCTGTCTCAGGGAAATAGAGTCAGAATGTGTATGCCTGGGACACAGCTGCTGCTGGATTCTTAAGGGAAGACCCTTCAGGCTCTACCCAAGAAAGCCCCTCTGGGTTCCCTCTTCCTGATCCCCAAACTGGGAGGGGGGGCATTTACTGCTGATCCCCTCTGCTTCATCTCTTACTCATTTTATTCAGAAAGGGGTCCGAAGATCTCTTTTCATTTTCACATAGAAACAACCCCTGTTTCCCAAACTCCTGCAGTGTTTCTTAGAAACCTATCTAGGGGCTGGGAACAAGACCTATCTCTTGTTTCTAACAAGAGCTAGTGCATACAAGAGTCTTCTCCTTCTGTTTCCCAGAAGGAGAGTTCAGGAAAAGAGCCTTCCAAGGAGACCCCCTAGATCCCTTCTTGCTGCTCCCACATTCAAGTAGCTGGTTTCCCTTGCTCTGTGAAGCAGTGAGGCTTCAGTAGAGCAGGGCTGGGGATTTAGCTAGACTAGGACAGCTGCCAGCACGGCTCTGCCCTTGGAGACTTCCAAAAAAGCTTCCCACTCTGTTGTTATTTGCCTGGGTGGTCATTAATGTTCCTGCTGCAGGCCCTGGGTGCCCAGGCTCCAGTCACATGAGCTGTAAAATCCCAAGTGAAACTGGAGCATCCAACTTCTGTATGTTCAGTTTGGGCTCCAGGCCTCCTTTGTCAGCACTCCACCCCTCCCTGCCTCAAACAGAGAGACAAATACAGCCTGCAGGGAAGAAGCCAGAGAAATACAGGCACTTAGGACACTCGTGAGGAGGGGCATTGGGGAATCCCTCTACACTGAGGCCAACTTTGATATGGAGATGGAGCAAAGGAATCCAGAAACCCTCTGTCTGAGTCCCAGGACTCTGGTTCCATTTAGACTTCTAGGGTCGTCCACTCCAGAGGGAAACCCTGGAACTGGACCAGCTAGGGTGATAACTGGCAACCCTTGGGACACATTCATCTACAGATACATCACACAGTATCATCAGAAATTTGATCCAATCTATAGATTGGAAGAGTTATAGATTTATGACTTCTTTTGCAGGAAAAAAACAATCAGAAGATACTTCTCACCTGGACTCTCGTGGCAAAACAGACTGTGCTATTTAGAGTGCACATCTGACAGCTCTCCGCACCCCCTACTCTCCATGACAGCCCTCACACGGGGACAGGGGCTGTTGACTTTGCACTTGCAATGCCATTTTTCTTTAGTAGAACAGATTTCTCTATACATCCTTAGCCATCAAAAGTGATTTTTTCTGCACTTGACCTAGTGATTCCTATTGGCATTTGAATTTGCAAACCCTGATGCCAGGCACCTAGAATAGCCAAGAGTGTTGCAATTGAACAGAAAATTAATCCAAATAACTTAAACAAAAATGAAAAGAGGGGTTGGCTGTCTTGTGCAGCTGGAAGAGTATCTGGGCAGCGACAGAAGTGATGAAGGGACTGTGGCAATCAGAGAGAAGGGCCATGCACCCCTGCCAGGATTCTCTCTCTAGCTCTTCCATCTGCTGGTCCCTGCTTGTCTTTGCATGTTGCCCTCATTCTCTTTCAGCAGAGGTGCCTTGGTCATGTGGTGAGGATCATGGCCATTAGAAGCCCCAATTTAGAAATTCCTGTAGAAAAAAGAGCTTCCTTTCTCCACTTCTGAAAAATCAATCCCAGGAAAGGATGCCAGCCTCACTTGGGTCATACACCTTAGGCAGGATGTTTTCTTTTTAAATCCAATATGTAAGTAGCTTGTCACTGTTCTCAGTAGGTCACAAATATTAACTTACTTAATCCCTGCTTTTTTTAAAAAAAAGTTTATGAGTTAGTCCAATTACTATCTCTATTGCAAATGAAGAAACTGAGACACAGATAAGTAGACTTCCCAAGGCCACAGAGCTATTACTTGGTAGAACTGGGATTTGAACCCTGGTGCTCTGGCTCCAGAGTCTATATTTGTATCTTATGGTTGTATGGTTGTCCCCCTGCACTATAGTTGTGCAGATTTGCACAGCATAACTCTAGGGGAACAAACCCTGGACCAAAACAGAGCATGACCTCATAGGCAACATGGAGGACAGGGGCAATCACTGGTTGTCAGGGTTAGTGGGAGACCAATGGTGGCTCATATCTGATGGGTGTGGGGGGTGGGTGCTGTGACAGCCCCACTGGTCCACATTTACTAGGGGCAGAGGAGTTCCCCGGTGAAAGAAGCCCAGGCAGACAGTGATAACATATGACCATCTCATGAGCATCCAGGGTCAGTCATGACTATAGCATCTGCCTATCTTCCTGCTCCCTAAAGACGTCTAGGTAGCAAATAGCCTCTGGGAAGGACATTCTGGCCCATGGTCTCTTCTTTAAGGGAAAAAAAAATAGAAGAAAATATTTAATCAACCAAACAATAAAAGGCAAACAGAAATAGCTCAATGTCAACAACACAAAAAAGGCTTAAAAGAAAATTCTCATAATCACCGTTCACATGCTGAGCCTTTTATAACTCCACTTTTTAATTGACAGACACCCCCCCAAAAAAATTACCTAACCTTTCTGAATCTCAATTTTTTCTTTCCCTTTTTAAAAAAAAAAAAAGATTTTATTTATTTGAGAGAGAAAGAAAGAGCCCAAGTCGGGGTGGGGTGGGGAGAGGGCAGAGGGACAAGCAGACTCCCCACTGAGCAGGAAGCCCAGTGCAGGGCTCAATCCCAGGACCCCAGGATCATGACCTGAGCTGAAGGCAGACATTTAACAGACTGAACCACTCAGGTGCCCCTGAATCTCAATTTTTTTCATCTGTAAAGTGAGAGATAAAGCCTATCCAGGTTGTTAGGATTTGGTGAGATAAGCCGTCACAGCTCATGGCACATAGAAGGCTCTAGAAAATGGTAGCCATTAAAGAGCCAATTTTCACCTTGGCTCTCATGGGCAAGTGTCATTCAGAACCCTCTCACAATCATATCTAGGGTATCCCGCTGATAATTGCACAGACTGCCACCTCTCCTAGTTTAGCCTCAGTTTCTCAGGATGAAACACAAGATATCCCCTAAGGAGCCTTGCAAAGGGCAGTGAGAGAGTCATGTGCTGGAGATGGAGTGGGAGGGAGGTGTCAGGAGAGGGTCAGGGGGGACTTGGTACAAGAGACTGAAGGAATACCAAGAGCTCTCATGATGAAATGTCATGGCCATAAATAAGATGATACAAGAAGGAAAGGGAACAGGAAAGGGGTGGGGGATGCAACTTTGAAATAGATAATTGTGATTACTGCATTTTAGGATTAAAGGAAACTTAGGATCCAGTTGAGTGGTTAGTCTTTTAAAAAAAAAATAAAATCTTGCACAGAATCAAAATCTGCAAAATAGATAAAGGCGAGCCGCCCTGGATAAAATGAGAGCTTGGGGAGCAGTTGGTTTGGTTTCCATGCAGGGCTGCTAGGAACAAAGTTTGAAAACCAGATCTGGGTCAATGCAGGAATCCAACACCACCACAAATATCCACTCACTTGCACTTCCCAAATGAATTACCTCTTGCATTGTCCACCCCCAAACTTAGTGTCTTAAAACAACGATTTTATTTGCTCCTGAGTCAGTTGGGCTGAGCACAGCAGGGAGTCTCTGGGGGTTACCTCTGCAGCTGCATCATCTGGAGGCAAAAAGGGGGCTGGATGGGCTAAGATGGCCTTACTCACACATCTGGTAGTTGGCGCTGGCTCCCTGCTGGGCTTCTCTTCCAGGAGAACCACTCCGAGACTGTACATAGCACTGAGTTCTAAGGGGACAGGCTTAGAAGCTGAAAGTTCTTTAGAGATATGAGGTAGGAAGTCCCATAATATCACTTTTGCCACATCCTACTGGTCAAAGCAAGTCACAAGAGCAGATCAGATTCAAATTGAAGGTATGGAGAAATAGACTCTTGATGGGAGGAATGTCAGAGTCACATTGAAAAGAGTTGCTTGCACAGGAATGGGAGGAATTTGGGGCTATTTTTTTTTTTCAAAATACAAAATCTCATTTTCTGCAACCTTTTTTTCAATAAGCTTGGCATATATCTGGTATATGAAGATGATAACTTGTAGTATACGTGGGTGAATGTGGCAAACCCTGCTATTATATAAACCCTCTCATTATTCGTTCTCCATTTTTTTCTTATTTACAGAACCTCAGTTCTTTTTTTTCCAGACTGGCCATGTGCCCAGTTACAAATATTCACCCTCCCAGATTTCCTAATAGCTGGAGTGAACACATGACCCAATTCTGGCCAATGAATGTAATCAGTAGTCTCCTGGGTAGGGTCTCCAGGAGAGCTGTTGTTTTCTTGATCAAAGGGAGCAAGCTCTCTGGCACTTGCCTTTTGCATTTTTCCCTGCTCCCTTCCTGTCCCCCTCCTGCCTGGAACCCATGTGGAACATTTACAGGTGGAGCAGACATTTTGAAACCATGAGACTAGATGAATAGAAACACAGAAGAAGCCTGATCTCCAATGGCATCATGGTACATCTTCTCTAGTCATGGACTCCCTATATCTGAGCTTCTCATTCTCTGGAAAAAAATAAACCCTACTTAGTTAAGTCTGTTAGAGCTGTGGTTTCTCCTATTGAAACAGGGAGTGACAGTGAGATGAGACTGGGAAGGAGAGCAGAAGGCTGACTGACCATCAAGGCCCATGACTGGAAGACACCATCATTGCTATGCACACTGAAATGAATTTCTGTCTTTTGCTGTGCTCATGTGTGTTTGTGTGTATTTGGAGGTGCCTGAGTCTAGAGATAGATGGTTTCGGTATAGGGATGATCATTTGTATATAAGGAATTGCTGTTGTTTTTGCAAAATTTAAAATCAAATTGGAGTCCAGAGTTTGAAAAGCTGAAATAAATTGAAAGTGAAAAAATAAGTTCAGTAGTAATGACTATAAATGCTTGTACTTAGATTTTTAAAAAAGATGTCAGCATGGGAGAGCTTAGTTTCACAGCCTGAGGGTTGGAGTTGACTGCAAAGGCTTAGAATGAGCTCACAGAATGAGCTGTGAGTGCCAAAAGCTCTGGCTCACCCTCTATGATGATTATCTAGGCTCCAGAATGCAGAGAGCAGACGTCCCTCAGCCTCTACATGGTCAGAGCATTGGGGGTGAGCATATGTCCATCCTAGGACTGACAAATGGAGCCCAGTCAGAGAAAGACAAGGATGACATCCAGGACCTGGGAAAGTTTAGCTTTGACAAGAGAAGACATGGAGGAGCCTGAAATGATAATAGCTGTAATAAGTCATCTATCACTGTATACAAACCACACCTAAAACTAAGTGGCTTAAACCAACAGCAACCATTCATTTGCTCAGGATTCTGCAGTCTGGGCTGGAGAGATTTTTTTTTTTCTCTGCCCCATGTAGTGTAATGGGAGTTGGGCTCACTGACACACTTGCAGCCAGCTGGCAGGTTGACTGGGGCTGGAGGAGCCATGATTGCTTCACTGGCATGTCTGTCACCTCGACTGGGATGACTGGACTGGCTGCACCCCTCTGCTTCTTGGGCCCTTTCAAACCAGTTCTCCACAAGGCTGTCATCTGCAAGGAGGCAAGCCCAGGCTTCATGGCTTCTCAGAACGGTAAGAGTGAAAGTGGATGCTACAAGGCTCTTGATGCCCAAGACTAGAATTTTTGTAACATTATATTGTACCAAGCAAGTCATAAGACCAGTCCAGATACAATTTGGAAAGGGACCACACAAAAGTGTGAATTTAGGAGTGTGATTCACTGGGGTCTATTTTGTAGCAGTCTTTCAAAATAACTAATATTCAGTTTTTCTAGAGTCTGTATAGTTCATGAAGGACATTTTCTTGTCCTATTTGATCATTACAACTTCATTGAGATTATGGTAAGGGTATGGTGGTAAAAAAAAAAATCAATAAAAGCTCTGACTTATGGCATTTGTCACTCACTTTCCTTGGTGTAAATACTCCCACCATGGCTCATTTTAAACGACCAACACAAGATCACTGAAAGCAGAAGTGAGAGGAGGGCCACTTGGCAGCTGGCTCTCACACACCACTGTATACAGTGGGGATTAGCTCTACTTGCAGATGAGGTGATGAGACTTTCTCAAAATCACACACAACCAGTAGTAGCAGATCTGGAACCCAACCCAGATCCAAACTGTATGCTTTGGTTATAACATCACCCTATCTCATAGCAATTTTCTTAAACATCTGAAGGGCTGCTATAGAGAAGGAGTAGCAATAGTCTAGGTTGCCTCTGAAGGCAAAATAAGTGTCAATGTGAGTAAATTTCAAAGAGACAGATTTCAGTGTAAGAAAGTCAGTATGAAAATGGATTCTGTAATCATTAGCCATTCAAAGAGAATGAATTACTTTGTGCCGTAGCGTTGTCCCTATCTTTAAAGGGTCTGTCAGAAGCCGGATCTTTGAAGATTTCTGAATCAGAGGAGAGGTTGAAGGTTGAACTAGAGAGCCTCTAAGACCCCATAAGTCTTAGATTCTGATTGTAAGAATGTTCTTAATTCCCAAATCTAGAACAGCTCAATATCCTCTTGAGACCAAAGAGTGTGAGAGAAGGGGAGAGAAGAGAAGGTGAGTGTTAAATCCTGGGAGGAGCTTGGCCAGAAGAAACGTAGCAGTCCTGAGGAGATAGGTCTCCTGAATACGTTCAGGTGGGAAAATGGGTCTTAGGAGGGTAGCTCTGGTCCAAGTGACAGAACCATAGGACTCATAACACAGAAGCACAACTTTTATTTTAAAGTCAACTCAAACGACAGCCCCCAGAACTTGAGTCTGAAATGTCAGGATGTTCTCAGGGTAGCAGAATGCAGCTATTGATATCGCCTAGCTCTGTGGATAAGGCTGGCTTTCTAACTGGGCTTCTTTAATTTTTGCTGAGGATTTGGCATTTAGTCTCCGACTCAGCCAGAACCTGCTGCTCCTGCCTGGCTGTGCTGCCCCACTTTTGCTTGGGGGTCTGTCAGTCATGGGCACCTCCCCCTCAGCCCCGCCCCGGGGGCTTCCTGAAGCAGTTAAAGATTCTAGTTTTATAATGAGAACCACAAAACTGGAAGCTTTCCCAAAGGAACAACTCAAAACTTGAGGAATAAATCTCAGCCATTTGAGAATACACACCTGGGATGCTTTCCGGGATGACTCAGGCATCACTGGCCATGCCAAGAAATTACTCAGGTAATCATAAATCCCAGGAGCTTCCAGGGAATGCCCAAGACCGTTACTGAAGTAGATAACTCATCTCTAAGAGTAAGTCCTTTGACTCAAAAACGTACAAGTCCATGCATCTCTGATTTTGAAGAGCTGCTATTTTCCTGTGCTAAACCCAAAGGAAGGAAGGCAAGTTGACCAAGACAAGTCTGGTCTTGCTCCTTCAGCTGGAAGCTCCCCCAAGTGAGACTAGCCCCATCAGAGACTTTCAAAGATGCTTTCACATCAAGGTTCCCAGATTTACTGAGTGACATGCTCCCCAAAGTCCAATACATCCATCACTCATGTGTAGAAGGGTCTGGAATGGCTAGGCAGGATGTGAAATAAGAAGAAACAATGGGGGACTAGTGGTAGGGAAAGCAATGATGGTCCCCAAAGCCACTTCCCTGGAGACACTCTCCTTTAGACCATAGGAACCATCATCAAAGTACACACAAATCACTACCAGCTCTAAAAACCAGGGGAACCCTCTCCCCAGGCTCAGAGTGCCTTCAGTTATCTTTGGTTTGCTCCTGCACAGAAATAGGTCTAAAAATGTCAGCAAAACAGGGTATCAGCAATTAAATTAGATCTTCCTGGGATGCCTGGGTGGCTCAGTGGTTGATCCTGGGGTCCTGAATCAAGTCCCAAATCAGGTCCTGGCAGGGAGTTTTTCCCTCTGTCTATGCCTCTGCCTCTCTCTGTGTCTCTCTCATGAATAAATAAATAAATACAATCTTAAAAAAAAAAAAAGAGCTTTCCATTTCCTCACTCAGCAAATGGCTGGATTTGGGCATCCATCCCGATCATGGAACTGTGGGACGCCTGGGCCTGGGGCTGAAGCCAGCTAAGGGCTCCGGTGTTGGGGCTGCTCCATGAGATCCAAGTTCCTTTCTGGGTCTACTTCTTCTCTTTTCCACTCTTCCCCTCAGCAACCTCAAATCACAGAACACAGTAAACTTAAAGATCATGCTAGTTTGAGCACCTAACTTTACAGGAAAGAAAGTCCCAGGGAGGAGGAGCAGAGATGCTGACTTTTGAAGGACACTCAACTAGTTAATAAAAAAGTCTGTAATCAGATGGTTCATACCACTAACCTTTTCAGTGCATGACCCTCTGCCCCACTTCTCTCTTTCCCAAATAAGGCATAGGTGCCAGCCTCCAACATGGCAGTCACACCCTCACATAGCTCTTCTCTCATGAGAGTGGTCTGTTTAACCAATAGAACATAGCAGATGGGATGGGATGTCACTCTGAGATTAGGTTATAAAACTATGGCTTTTGCCTTGGGCTCTCTCTTTCTCTTAGATCACTTACTCTGGGGAAAGCCAAGTGCCACAGGCAGGCAGGCTATGACAGGCTCACAGGGTGAGGGAATGAAGTCTCTGGCACAACCAGTGAGGAGCTAAGGCCTGCTGACAATCACGTGGCTAAGCCCCCAAGCAGACCCTACCCCAGCTGAGCCTTCAGATGGCTGCAGCCCTGGCCAACAGCTTCACCACAACCTCATGAGAGACCATGAGTCGAAAACCCCAGCTGAGCCTCTCCTGGATTCCTAATTCACAGAAACTGTGAGATGATCAATGTCTATGGTTTTAAGCTGCTAAGTTTAGGAGTAATTGGTTATATGGAGTAGATTAAAAACACTGGGGTTTTTTTCTTGGCTGTTTTTTCCCCCTTGGAAAGAGAGAGAGAGAACGAGAGAGAGCTATGAAGGCAAATCCCAGTTTACCAGTCAACAAGACCCTGCACTACACTATTTTAAGAGATGAAACTGTGGCAAATCAGGAAAAAAAAAAGTAAGCTTCCCTGGAGGCTTGGGGCAAGAACCTCATTAGTGCAGGATTAAGTGTCTTCCCAGGCCTCAGTGAAAGAGGCTGGGCTGCTAGAATGCACCAGCTCCCTTTATAGAAGTTGTGAGCCTGTGGCACATGCAAGTGCTAACTACATTAGATGCATAATGTATAAACCTTACAGAGCTTTTGAGACGGAGTTACTCTTTGGTGGCTATTTTGTGACTTAAGGGTGCTCCCTTAAGTTAAAGATGATTTCCTGCGATTCTGGTTTCCCATCTGGGGGATGGGGTTGGGAGGGAGTTTCTGTGTGGTTTTCAGAGGCTTCAATGAAGGCAGAACCAGCACTCGTCCTCCTCACCCTATTCATTCCCAAGTGGACCAGTCCAGCCCTGTCTGCCCAATAGACACATCCAAGCGAAGCTCTTTGAAAGGTGCCTCAGCAAAAAGCATTCTACAAATGCATACATTCCACAGAATGTTGTCTCAGGGGTGCTTTCTGACAGACTTTCTTGTTGGAAACTCCAAAATCTAGGGTCCTTATGCAATAGTCTCTATCCTACGCACTCTACCCTATATGCTCAAAAGTGAGCTCTGTCTTGTTTTCTATCCAGAGAACCTATAGCTGGAAGCATAACGGGCTTTCCTGTGCCCAGAATGTGTTTCCTAAAATATAGCTAAACTAGGTTAATGTCTTTTTTCTTTTCTCTCTTTTTTTCCTTCTCCCCCCTCCCCCCCTTGAAGTGTAGATTTAGAGCCCCTGGGAAACTTCCGAGCTTTTTATTTTAAAGATACAACAAGAACATAGCTGTACCTTCACTTACCGGAGGAATATCAAGCAGACAGGACAGAAAGGTGGGCCCTGACCAGCTCTCCCAGGTCAGCCAGAAACAGTAAAAGCTGGCCAGGACCCACCCCCCAAAGCCATGGGGTCTCACTATATGCAGTGATACCTAATTCATTTGGTGCAGGCGGGTGGGGGGGGGGTGTTCTGGAGGCACTTCCAGAGCTATTGTTTGCAAGCTAACAACCTTGTCTCTCCAGCTGTTCCTTAGTCTCTTCAAGAGACCAGGAAGTAGAAGAAAATGAAGAACTTGGAGCCAGAAGTCAGTCTCTGCCAACAGGAACAATGGGTGCAATTGTGCTTTTCACAAAGCAGCAACTGCTCTCAAGGAGGATGAAATGAAAACATGTGTGTGCTATTGCAATCATGAGGATCTCAGCATGGGGACTTCCGGATGGACAATTCCAGAATCTTAGGGTGCTGGGAAGATTATCCTTCCAGAGAGATTCTATAGCAAAAGTCAGAGAGTGGCTACTTGCTGGGTGAGCTCTCCAAGCAAGAGAAAATGCAAGTATGTGCTTTCTTCAAAACCAAGGTAGGGGAATGATGCTGCTGGACGGTCTTCATTTTAGTTCCTCCTCTTTCTTCTGTCTGTCTGGTCTTGCTTTCTCTCTTCAACGTGGTGTTTGTGTTCTGTTTCTCACAACCTGCTATATTTACAGATCAAAAGACAAATTTCTAAAAATTCACTGACCCAACTCTCTCACCTCTGCTGATGACTCTCAAGAGTCTGTTTCTAGCCCTGACCCCATTCCCAAGTGCCTGATGAAAATCTCTAGCTAGATGTCCACCCTAAGTTCCATTTTTTTTTAAGAGGCCATCCTTCTCTCAAAACGGTTCCAACTTCCAACTATGATAAGCTAGTAAATAAGGGATATGTTTTTTATTTTAAAAAAATATTTTTTTTACTCTTCACTCTCTTTCATTCCCCATTCCAACCTGTTCCCAAAACCTGGTACATCTTCCTGTAAAATGGCTCTTGAAGTCCTCTCATTCCTTTCCAGGTCTTCTCTTGCGATCCTGCTTCAAGTCTTCTTTCTCAGACATTTGGTTCCTATCCCTACTTCTCATTACCTCTTTACCTCCACCACTCTCTCTCCCATTTATTTGAACACAATGTGATCTTCCTATCAGTCAGACAAGTCTAGGCTATGCTGTGATAACAAATCACTCCATGGGCAGCTCTGGTGGCTCAGCAGTTTAGCACCGCCTTCAGCCCAGGGCCTGATCCTGGAGACCTGGGATCGAGTCCCACGTCAGGCTTCCTGTACGGAGCCTGCTTCTCCCTCTGCCTGTGTCTCTGCCTCTCTCTGTCTCTCATAAATAAATATCTTAAATAAAAAAAAAAAGTTTAAAAAAACAAATGACTCCAAAATCTCAAGCTTAACACAATAAAGGCTAACTTCTTATTTGCATTATATATTCATCATGTACTTGCTGTAGCTCTGCTCCAAGTTGTCATTCTGGGACCTAAATGAATGGGACCTTCCCTGTTTGGGACCATGTCGTTCTCAGTGCAAAGGGAAAAGAGAACATGTGAACCATGCTACAATCATCAACACTTTTGCCTAGAAATGGCACATATCCCTTTTACCTTTCATGGACAAAAGTGTCACATGCACAAGTCTGATGTTATCTAGGCAGAGATGTGTAAGCCTTTCATAGGAAAAGGAAATAAATGATTGTCACTATAGTTGGCCCCAGTACTTGTTCCTACATTTCAGTTTTCCTCTTCTCCCTAGGACTTAAATGCCATGTGTTGAAACCCCAGCCATCTCACTGTCCTGTTTACTCTCTTTGGCTCAGAGTGATTTCTCTTTTCCATGACTTTTAGTTGACTTTATAATCAGTAGTCCCCTTACTGGATTTGTTTTAGGTGCCTACCTGCCCATGGCCCTTCAGGTGGTCTTGTGATCCGCTACTCCTGGCCACAGCTCACTGGATCTTCAGGTATGGCAAGTGACCCAAGGATAGCCAAAATACAGGCTCATTGAAGCCAGTGATGATGATGGCTAGGCTTCAATGATGAAGGCATCATCATTGAAGCTTAGGGCCTGGGCCAATCAAATATAGAAAGAACTACCAAACAACTACCCAAAACAGAAGGAATGTAATACCACTTGGAGTGGTTGTTAAGGCTGAAAGGATGCTCAGAGGTAGAGTCAGAGCAGGTGGGAGATCTGATTCAGTAAGCTGAGGTTAGGAGAGAACAGCAGTTATAGGAACAGAGGATGTGGCATTAGAGGGAGGAGCAGAGACACCACGAGAGGGTGCAGGGCCTTCTGTGAGAGTGGCAGGGGGGCTTGCCAGTCCTCCATCCTTCTCCCTTCCAGTGCCAAGCACATGGGCACTTACAATAAATCCTTTTTGAGACAATTTGAGGGGGTCTCTATTTTTATTAACAGCAAATAAAACCACCTTGCATTTAAAGAAACATTGTCAATTTGTTTCATTTGAGTTTAGTTTGACCTGCCCATTTAGACTTCAGGCCCTCAAAGCAAGGTGCACGTTTGTGTCCTCTGTGAGCCTGCTCTAGTGCGGCATAGGCTTCCACACATTCTATGAGTGGCTTGCCATCCATGTCCACAGATCTTTGCCTCATTGTCCTCCTCATCATCTTCTTTGTAGCCAACTCTAGAAAATCAACCCAAAGCATTACTGCTGAATAAATGGGAAAGCAAATACACATTTCCTTACCCAGGAAACTCTCTAGGTCCACTGAGCACAAGTTTCTGGGACCTTCATAGTTGACGTACTGTGGACAGTGGTCCAAGTCTCTTTCAGCACCACCCCCCTTGGTAAGTTGCCAGACCTCAAATTAAGCCTCTTAAAAATGGGGTTACATCTGGTTATGGTGAGAGGAAAATATTAAAAGTGAAGAACTATTAGCTGAACAAGAAATGACACAGACGCTCCCTGCTCCTCACTCTGCTTAATAAAATGCCCTGTGTGCTCAAATCAGTCTGATAAAGTGAGTGGAGCCGGGAGCCAGCTCCTGGTCACTTGGACCACCCATCTGCTTCCACGGAGCCTTTGGATAGCTTTTGTTCCTCTTCCCCTATCCTTTCTGCCTTCCAAGCTCCCAAGTGGAAGGCAAAGTTGGGGGAACAGGGGCAGGAGAGTCCACATACAGCTTTTTCATGTGTGTGTTCATGCACACACAAGAATTAGTCAATCTAGAAAGCCTTTAGTTAGAGTCTGAAAAGACCAATGCACCACTTTCCCCTTCCCCTAAACATTGATTTGGGGTGAAAAGGAAAAAAAATAGATGATAGAGATAGGTAGATGACAGATGATAGAGGGATAAATCGATCCACAACCAGCCCTCTCCAGTTAACATCAGCTCTTCACTCCTGGGAAGTGTACTTGTATGATTCCCAGGAGCTGAGCAGAAGAGGCCCTCCTGAAGGATTTGGCCCCACTCAATAAGCCGCTGGTTGTCTGCCAGTGGAGAGAGGACCACTTGGGTTTCTCTGTTAAGTGGAATGATGAAGAGAGACTCCAGTTGATCTCACGGTCTTCAGAGCCTATGTGAGGCAGCAGGGAAATCAGCTGAGACCAGTGGCTGTCCCCAAGTTCCTCTGTTAGTTGACACTTAAGGGACCTTGTACTAGTTTTCTTGGGCTGTCCTAACAATGACCCACAGACTGGGTTAATTGATTGGTAAACAGCAGAAATTTATTGTCTCATGGTTCTGGAAGCTACAGGTCAGATAAAGGGTTGTCAGTAGGGTTGGTTCCTTCTGAGGGCTGTGAGGCATAATCTCTCCCTAGCTTCTGGTGGTTTGCTGATATCTTTAGCATCCTTGGCTTGTAGAAACATCACCCTGTCTCTACCTTCACGTTCACTTGGTGTTCTCCCTGTGTGCTTGTCTGTTTCCAAATTTCCCCTTTTTATAAGGACACAAAACATGTTGGATTAGGATTTACCTTAATGACTTCATTTTAACTTGATTCCCTCTGTAAAGACCCTATCTCCAAATAAGGCCATATTCTGAGAGTGGGGGTTAGGACTTCAATGTGTGTGTGTGTCTGTGGGTCTGTGATGGGTTCACCATTTAACTCACACCTCATCTGACCCAGTATGCGAGGTCTGCATTCCTCCCCCCGCCCCCCACAGCGGCCCTGAGTTTTATAATCAGACACACTGACCTTCTCCCTTTGAGTCTTGACCTCTTGGACTCAATTAGCCAGAGGCTGTGGAAACAGGCTGATGAAGGCTGGCACTGCTTTAACAGCTCAGTGCAGGGAGGTTCCATTAAAGCACTTCCAATAATTTTTGCGAGTTTTTCAAATTGGTGCATGTGATCAACTTTGCCTGCTTTTTCTAACTCTTTAAGCTTCTTTGGAAAGGATGAGAGGGAGCCTTGAAGGCTGACTGCCTCCCTGAATTTTGTGTGATTCTGTAGCAGGACTCTCATCAGGTAGCCACTGAGGGAAGATAGCAAGAGCTCAAGAATCTTTGGGCTGTGAACTTGTCATTCATGGAGGTGGAAACACTGAGGTCAGGCCTAGCTCTGGTGTGGGAGTTAGGAAAGAGAAAAGGTACAGAGGTGAGGGGAGGACAGGTGACCAGGGTGGGAGTGCAGGGGGTCAGGAAAAGAGATTTGTTATTTTTACAGGCTTTTCTATAAACTAGGTAATTGTGGGTTGTGCCCTCAAAAGAGATAAACGTTCTCTTCATTGGGCTGAAGGGAAGTTGAGTGTAGTCATTGGGATTATATTTGGCTTTGTGTAACAGAAAATCTGAAAATAATAGAGGCTTTATAAAGATTGACCTTTATTTTTTTACATGAAAGAAGCCTGGAGATAGGCAATCCAGGGCCAGTATGGCAGTCTTATGATCTTCAGGGAACAAAGCTCCACTTAATATACTGTTCCCCCAACCTTAGCATGTCTCCTCATGATCCCAGATGGCTGCTCAGCCACCGGCCATCACATCCAGATACCAGGTAGCAGCAAAAGGGCTTCTCAGAGACTTCACACAGTTCTGCCTACATCTCATTGGCCAGGTGGTCATGTAATCTTTTCTCTGGGTAGCAACATACCCAGCAAAATCTGGGGATTTGTTATTAGGAACAGAAGAATGTTGAGGGGCAAACAGTGGTCTCCACCACCACACTACATATGAAGAGGACCCAGTTACTACCTAAATTTCCAAGTTCATCCCCCAAAAAAGGATGTTTCTGAAGCACAAATTCTTTGTCCTGGAGAATCTCATATCCCACTGAATGTGAATGATCCCTCGGGCCTCAGTGTCAGATTCAGTTTCCCCAGGAATCTTCTGGGTCCCTGAGCCTACATTAGCCTCTTTGTCATATGCTCTCACCACACCTCGTGGTGCCCACGTCATTATTGAATTATTGCAAGTTATCTGTGTGAGGACCACTTTCCTTATATACTGGACAGTAAGCCTGGGAGGGCAGGGGCTCTTCCTTGCTCACCATTATCTCCATAGTTGATGTAGGAGAGGAAACACTTGCCTCTCCCCTTCTAGGTTCTGTAGCTGGACCTAAGAATTAAACTGACATAGTAAGGCAGATTAACAGGAGAAAAAACACACATGTTTAGTTTATGTTTTTACATGTACCCAGGAGTTTTCAGAAGGAATATGAGGAGCTGAAAAAGCTGTTAGGCCCAAATATACTGTGAGGAGAAGATAAAGAGGTTTGGACTAGAGGTAGTAAATTGTGGGCCAGTGACTAAGAAATGTATGGGGGAAACCAATAAAAGATACTGATATTAGTATTGTTTGTACAGGACCTTTTTGGCATCTTCTTCCAATCTCTGGTGAGAGATACACCTGTCTCTTCTCAGGGGAAATTTTATGATCTGCTTTTAGGTAAAAAAAAAAAGGGGGGGGGGGGAGGGAGGTCAGAGAACCCTTCCTGGTTCTACTGTTTCTCAAGTGACTTCAGGTCAACATAATCATTAACAGTGGCATATTTTGGGGTGGCATGTTCTGAACCCCTACATAGACCTTCAATAAATATTCATTAGCTGACTGACTTTGAGTGATTAGAACAATAAAGAAGCCTCAGGTTCAAGGCCATTTCCCATGAGACTTTTCTTTAACAGATTTGCCTAGCTGAGACGGGGGCAAACCTGGATTCTCCTGTGCTGCACACCTGTCAGGTTTCGGGCAGCTCCTGCACCCACACGGATGTCTGTGAGGGATGTGGGCTGAGGCTGTCAGAAGAGCTTTTTTGAGGACTCCCATGGTAAATCTCACTTTACAAAACCAGCTCCTGGGGCACCTGGGTGGCTCAGTGGTTGAGGTCTGCCTTTTGCCCGGGTCGTGATCCTGGGGTTCTGGGGTCGAGTCCCGCATCGGGCTCCCAGCAGGGAGCCTGCTTCTCCCTCTGCCTATGTCTCTGCCTCTCTGTGTGTGTCTCTCATGAATAAATAAATTAGAAATCTTAGAAACAAAACAAACCCCAAAACCAGCTCTAGCCAGAAGCATGCCCAGGAGGGCAGCAAAACAGAGACTATAGTGGTGTGGGTGAGTTTTAGATCAGAAAACGCAACTGGCTGCTCAATGTTTTGGGAAGAAAAGTAGGTCACCTTCCTATGCTCAGTTCAATGGCAAGCCCAGGCCCTAAAGGGGAAGGAAGGGTTGCGTGATCTCTGATGTCACAGGAGGCAGACAAATTTGGTCATGCTCAGCTTTATGAGAACTACCTGCCCCACCCCCTGGCCATTCTCAAGACTCCCTAAAAATCAAGAAAAAATCTGTCCAGGCTTTTAGGTCTTGGATACAGAATCTTCCCGGGGCCAAGTTTTTTAAAGAAAGAGTTCATTTCAGCACCACCCAAACCAAAAGGCAGAACCCAGAATCCAGAATGGCTCCCAAACCCTCTATTTTAAGCTTGTCCAATTAAGAAGGAGCATTTTGCATTCTGGCTTAGGATCATGGGGTTTTAAAGGAGAGAGCAAGTTTGTGGGAGCCCTGGCAGGGAGCCTCAAGAGGCCTCAGGGTGAAGCGCTGCCATGAGGCAGGCAGAGGAGAGGCTCTGTGGACAGGCCCCCCTCCCGTCCCCCAGCCCATGGAGAGAGGAGAGTGAGATTGAGAAATGAAGACTGGGCTCCAGTTTGGCCAACAAAACCCCCTGCATCCTGTCCTTCCACATGCAGCGCTGTGATATGAGTCATAATGATCCGGTCATACTTCAACCACTTCTCCTTCTGACAGAGAAGCTGAAAGTGATGTTCCCCCTCAGTGTGATTTGGGGGTCCTCTGGGGCAGGATGGATGAAGAGGTGCTGGCATTGTCACCCTGCGGTTTGCAAGAGCCAATGACAAAATGATCAGACCTTTTTGAGCCTCTTGTGAAACCACTGGTAACCTGAATTCTGCCACGGTGGGAGTGTTTACACTGGGGAAATCGGCAGATACCACAAATTAGGCTTTTTTTATTACCCTTTTTTTCTCCAGAGAGCAGCTTTAGTGGCACACACTGCGTTAGTCATGAGGCAGGAGGCGCCCTGAGTGGGCTTGAGGAGACGGAGGGATAGGACCGGAGTGAGCAGTGCTGAGCACTGGGCACTGCCCCTGACATCTTGGTGACACCATCCCTCTCCATTCCATGTGCATTTCCTTGGGGTGTTTTCTCCGTGGAAACACCAAGGGCTTCCACTCCTGCTTTATCAGGGTACGGGAAGAAGTTTACTCTCACTGGCCCCTCTGCTCAAGGGCTCCAAGAGGATCATTTTCTTGCAGAAGGAGGAGAGAAGGAAAAGCTAGAGAGATGCCTCTACTGGCAACAAGTCAACAGAAAAGCAGATATGGGCAGCATGACAGTCAAAGGTGGGCTTCCTTCATTCACATCCTCTGACAAAATCGGCAAGCCAAGGGTGCCATGAAGGCCACAGGTGACATTTCTTGTATGTGTGGATCCCTCTGCTTCAGACTCTGTTTTCAGAAGTCACAAAAGGTTGAAAGGGAAACAAATTATTTTCCTGAAAAGGATAATAAATGCGAACAGGAGGGGTATAGAAAAGGATTGTTAACTTTTATTGCACTGGCCAGCCTGGGGTAGGGGGGGTGCTTGTGGAAAAAAGATTTCCAGGACTTTTCTCTGAGAAGTTTAGACTCTAGAGATCTAGAGAGGAGACCAGAAATCAGCTTTTTTTTTTTTTTAAAGATGTATGTATGTATGTATTTATTTATTTGGGGGAGAGAGAGAGTGAGTATGCACAAGCCAGGGGAGGGGCAGAGGGAGAGTAAGAGGGAGAGAATCTCAGGCAGGCTCTCCACTGAAGGCGATCCCAGAACCCTGAGATCATGACCTGAGACAAAATAAAAAGTCAAATGCTTAACTGACTGAGCCACCCCAGTGCCCCTGAAAATCACCTTTGTTTTAGAGCCCTACTCCTCCTCTTTGGTCAGCTGCTGGCGGTCTCAGGACTGCACTCTGAGAAGCTGGTTAGAGATGGTCCTCAGGGGGATATATCAATGGTAGACTGATCCCTGGGCAGGACCCTCCCCAGTGCCCAGGCTCTGCATTGCCTCACATCTTCAAGAGTCATCCACTGATACGTGGGCCCAGCAGCGTGCTGGGAATTACTGGAACAGCATAAAAACACGACAGACTGTTCTCTTCTCACCACTGTGAGTGGGGAATGGGGTAGAGCCTGGGAAAAGTAGTCCTTAGGCTCTGAGAGGAGCATCTGGGTTGCCGTGGTGGAACCAGTGACCTGTAAGAGAAGTAGGGACCTCTAAGAGGAATTTAATCATTCTGATTAATTAATTAATTAATTAATTAACTCATCCTGAAGGATTATTCTGCTGAAACTCTGAGTAGTAAGGACAAAGCACTGGACAATTTGGTCAAAGTCAATGTGCCAGGCCTCAGCCTCTAAGCCCTGCCATTAGCTGCTCTCCAGCCCAGGAAGAGGCAGAGAGGGGAGTGTAGGGAAGCTCTGGGCTTTGCCCTTCACCTATAGGAGGTCAGCCCTCCAAACTCCTCTCCACCCACATTGACCACCCTGCCTGCAGCCACAATGCCCCAGGGCCACGCAGAGTGTGGGACAGCCCCCCCCCCCCCATACAGCCCCCTTCCCCCCAGGGATCTAGGGATGACAGTGAATTTTCATATCTCAGCATAAGTGCAAGGAAGTCCTTCCCCCATGGGCTCAGGCAACCTTCTGGGAACTATTAAAAGCTGCCAGAAGTCAGTTTTTCTGTTGGAAGCACCTCTTTATAAATGTAAATGAGTTTACATTTATAAAGCTTGGCAAAACTCATTCTAAGAACCAATTCACTTGCAAAGATGAGGTGAAAAGGGGCCATGGCTTCCCACAGATGGGCTCACTCTGAAGAGAAGCTCCTGATCCACAGTGGTCCCCCCCCCCTGCCGTTCCCCAGGAAGACACCCCACTCCCCATTCACATGGCCCAGTCCTGCCAGAGGACGTCACTGCAACAAAGAAAGAAAGAAAGACGCCAATCTTCACCTTTGCCTATTGTACACCACACCACCAGAGAACTCTACTGCAGCCCTTCCTTGACTGTGCACTTTATATTTATTTGTAAACCACTTCCTGTTTCCATTTCTAGGTCAGAAACCAAGCCCACAGATTCACTCAGCCAGGTGGCCCAGCTATTATCACCTGTCAGAGACCATGGCAGTCTCTCAGGGACGGATCAGAGGATACAACTTGGAAGGACAAGATATTGGTTCATTCTTAGGAACACATATGAACATTCCTAGGCTTTTTGGAATGCTTCATGCCTAGGACCAGAAGGTTGGCATGCCTGGAAAATCTGTGACTTGCTTGGTTTGCATCTCTCTGCTGTGCCAATGTGCAACTCCTCAGCCCCCTGGAGGTACTAAACAAAGGCACTTTGGGAAGGCTTTTTGTAAAGACCTGGCTGGAAACCTTGTTCTCCCAAGGGGCCAGGCCTGCCAGACCATCATCAGGCAATAGCTGGTAGTCCCTGAGGAAGACATGAACAAGAAGCCGTTTGAAAGCATTATCTTCTAGAAAATAAATTTCAAAACAAGGAAGAAACCACAGCTCAGACAGACGTGAGCGGATGTTCAGTAACCTGGGTTCATGGGAAGACCATCAAGAAGAGGTATTGCACAATTTTTGCACCTTCCCTTCATGATTGCTGAGCAGTTTACTCAATCTGATTTCACCCGGATTATTCTGATGCGACACTGAGTGCGAAGGACAAGGCACTAGATGATTTGGTTAAGGTCAATATGCCAAGTCAGTATGAGTCGCTATTTTGGCTTCTCAATTCCACTCTCTGAACCTTTTTTCTGTGGAAATGTATTGTAAGCTGGAACCCACCTGAGATGACCCAGAAAACGCTGAGCACCAATCTTCTCCCTATGCCTCTGAATGAATCAGGCATTCAGGGCTGTGTGGGGCCAGGGCCTTGGGGCAGAGTCCCTGTAAAGGTTGCACATGTTGCAGACTCCTGCATTACATTTTCTTCCACAGCAGGGAAGAGGGAAGAACAGGCCAGAAAGGCCCAGAAACTCAGGCCAGCCTAGGAGATAGGGATGAGGGCTGCTATCCCGAAAGCCGTCAGGAATGCAGAGACTGGCTCTCCAGAGAGTACCGTCCTGAGTTCAGGGAGGTAGCTCCCAAGAGAGAAACATATATTCTGAGTCTAGTCATGCAGAGAAGCAACAATGCCATATGCAGCTCTACAGAAAACAGAACACAAAAAATGTCTTCCTTTTAATTACTGAGGGTGTAGGGAAATAGGAACTCGCATACTCTGCTGGTGGGAATACAAACTTGGAAAAATTTGGTTGGTTGGCAACTTAGTAATGTATGTTGGAGGCAGAGACAATGCTTTGCATTCACCAAACTCTGTGTTTTCTTCCTAGACACATAGGAAAACTGCATTTCCCACCCACGGTTGCAGTTAGGAGCAGTCATGTGATCGAGTTCCAGACAACTGGAAACTGGGCAGAAGAAATGTTATGAGTCAATTTCAAGTCTAGCCCTAAAACCACCCGTGCAGTTCTCCATTCTCTCTCTTTTCCTTCTCCTTCTCTCTCTCTCTCCTGCTCCCTCATTTTCTCCTTCCCCTTTCACCTATCAGCTGAAATCAGAGGATCCATTGAAGAACTCTAAATCTCTGGAAAATGGAAAGCCATCATATGAACAAATCCTGGATCCAGCAAACTGTATAGAGCTCCTTCTACCCCACAAACAGATGTGACCTACACTGAACTGTAAAATAAGAGAGAAATACATTTCTTTATTGTGCTAAGCCAATGAGATGGGGAAGGGGGGCGGTGTTACAATATTTAGCCTATCTTGACTGATGTGATATCAAAATCCTTTAAAATGTCACAGCCAGAAGCTTTGACCTGGCAGTTACATGCTTTGGAACATAGCCAAAGGAAATAATTAAGAATAGTCACTATAGTATAAAAGTTGTAAATAACATTAACTTCCAACAATGAGAGTCATTAAAGAATAATACAACTCTGCAAAGAAATTTTGTGCACTGAATATGATTGAAATGCATTTGTTGACATGAAAAATTTTCATGATATGTACATGAGAAAGAACAAGTAACAAAAACATGGCAAGCATGAACCTATAACCATTTATACACAGATATGCAAAGAAAAATGTCCGGAAATATACCACAATAACAGTGATTATTTCTGGTAATAGGATTACAGATGGCTTAAAAAAAAAGATTTTATTTATTTACTTGAGAGAGAGAATGAGTGAGAACAAGAGCGAGAGAGAATAAAGGAGAGAGAGAAAGAGAGAGCATGAGTGGGGTGGGGAGGGGCAGGAGGAGAGAGAGAAGTAGGTTGCTCATCCAGCAGGGAGCCTGATGTAGAGCTCAATCCCAGGACCCTGGGATCATGACCTGAGCCAAAGGCAGACACTTAACCAACTGAGCCACCCAGGCACCCCTATAGATGGCTTTAAAAAAAGATTGCCTCTTTTTTTTTTTTTTTTTTGCAGTTTTATGCTTTCGGCAATGAACATATATTTCTTGAGTTAAAAAAAAATTTTTTTTAAAGTAGCCTGCTGGAAATGGATAGATCTCCTCCAAACTTGAGACCTGGCCTTGCTCTGAGGATAAGTGTACTGTGTGCAAGGGGAATCCAGGTTCCTTGATGCAAGACTGGTCAGGGACTAAAGCCCCACCTTTTATGGGGTTAAACATCCATTTCATCTCCATCCATGGGAGCAACTCTCAGGCCCTTTGCCCAACCCTAGGGTCAGTCCAACTCACAAACTGCCCTGACTTTAAGGAAGGAAACCTTTTTCCATCACAAGGTTTTCCAAAATTTCCTCAGAGAGTTGATGAGGCTCCAAACTCTCTTCTTTTTGGATCTGAGTTTGGATAATTTGGGAAAACTGTGGCCACAGATTTCCCGCCCCCACAGTGAGCTGGGTGATGCAGCCTGTGCCCCTGCTGTGGGGGCCAGGGCAGGAAATTACACTCTAACTATAGGTCTTTATTCAGAAACCCAGCAGCTTCACCACAAAATCAGTTTGAGAGCCCTGAAGCCTTGGCGCCCTGACCTACAAGATCAAAGAGTCTCATGCAATCTCTCCAAGTGAACTTTGAACAAAAAGCAATGTGGCAGGGTTTTGTTTTGACCTTCCCACCACCTGATCATGCCAGAATGAAGTTGTGACTGCAACTTTTTTTCTCCTGCCGAATTATCCCCTGTCCTTTTCAGCAGACCCTCAGACAGAGAGAATAAGCCACTGAGGTTTCCTGTTGAGGAAGGTTCATTGTGTTCTGTGAGGGGACCAGACATTAACACAACCCATGCATAAGTTTTTGGTGTAGTAAGAGCTATTTTAGTTGAACTTAATGACTTTTTGACAAACCACATGTCCCCAAAATGAAGACATATGAGGAAGAGAAGACTTATTTCTGACATGAGATCTTGACCCATTGCATCAGGAAAGGGGCTTCCCCTAGAGCCAATGAAGAGTGAATGCCTGAGGGCCTGAGAACACCTACAAGAAAGCCTTAGCAATTATTTTCCATCCCTCTCCATGACTCAGATTCCACCTGCCCGTTGAGGCCCAGCTGAAGAGACGGCTCACAAAGGCCTCTGAAGGCAAGTTAGGCCCCACCACTCACGCTGCCTTTCCTGTCTCCAATCCCTTTCCAGCGCAAAGGTTGTCCCAAGCCTGAGTGCCGTGGGCTCCACATGAACACTTTCTGGCCCAGCACAGTCTGATTCACCTCAGTGTCCAGTTTAGAATCACTCAGGGTTCCTACCCACTCCGGGTCTCAGTCCCCTGAAGATTCCTCTTTTCCTCGGGTGTTGGGACCCCACAGTGATAGCTAAGCACGTAGGCGTTAGAGCTGGAGTGCTCTGTGAGCTTGAGCAAGTCACTAGCTTTCTCTGAATTTTTGTTTCCCCTGGCTCTCTGTGAAATGCTTTAATAGTTGTGAAAATTAAATGAGAGAATTCATGTACATCACGCTCAAAGAAACATAGTGTTTTTAAAAGTGGCCCCCAAATTCTCTGACACACCTCCTTGAATCTGGTCTCTGAAACTGCCTGACCAGTAGAATATAGGGAAGAGATGCCACACCAGTGTCTGGCCTCAAGCTTCAGAAACTGGCAGCCTCCGCGTCCTGCCTCCCTCTTGGAACCCAGGTGCCACTGTGAGGAGTCTGGCCACACCGAGAGGCATGTTCTGGCAGGAAGCCCCAGCTGAGGTATAAACCAACAGCCAGCATAAAAGTGAAGAAGCTTTTAAGATGACTCCAGCTGCAGCCACCATCTGACTGTAACCATGGAAATTGAAGAGCACAAGCCCTGAGCAAGAACCGCCTCACTAATCCCAGTCAACCCCCAGAAGCACGAGCCATGAGAATAAAATGACTGTTGTTGTTTTAAGTTCCACTGATTTTATACTCAGCCACAGATCTCAGAAGACTCACATTGGTCCAAGCCATCCTGGCCCTCGTTGGCCATCCTCCTTGGCAGCTGGATGCCAGTCATGCTGTTTCTTCCTCTCCAGCTTTGCCCTTCCCTGCCGACACACTTGCAGGTATCTGAAGCCAACTGTGGACCGATTCAAGTTTTCTCCCCAGAGGAAATGTCTTAGCTCCTATATAAATCAGTGCATTCAAAGAATTGCTTGGAAGAAAGGGCACTGCCCAACTCTGTGACAAAACAGCCTCCTAAAATCATGTGCTGCCTTGGTCTGTTCACTGTATTTTCCATGGATATTAGGTCTCATTTTTCCAAAAAGAATGTTAGTTTCTTTTTTTTAAAAAAAGATTGTATTTATTTATTCATGAGAGACAGAGAGAGAGACACACACACACACACAGGCAGAGGGAGAAGCAGGCTCCCTGTGGGGTGTCTGATGTGGGGCTCGATCCCAGGACCCTGGGATCAAGACATGAGCCAAAGGTGGACGCTCAACCACTGAGCCACCCAGGTGTCCAAGAATGTAAGTTTCTTAAGGGCAGGGACCCTGTTTAAATTTTATTTATTTAGCAAATTGTAATTTTTGAGAAAACAGTGGTCACAGCTAATTGGAACCAGTTGAATCTATGAAAAAAAGCCTAAGTCCATGATGATGCTCAAAGGGGACAAATGGTCAAAAGTGGTCTACAGAAAAGTCACACTGCCAATATGAGTCTACTGGTGCCCAAACTCAATAAAAGAAAAAAAATGGGGATAAATTACTCTTTCATTAAGACAGGATGAAGATGGTTCATATAAATGAAAAGTCCAGGGATTGGAGAGTTTTAATTGTTTCAGACTGTTTCAATAATGTCCCCTTACTAGGTCATTCAGGTGGTTATTGTAGCCTGTCCAAGATGTTAGAACTATTTTACCTGCTGAGGTGATAATTGCAAAAACCTTGACACTTAGGTCTGGGGCTGGATTGCATGAATAGTCAGGCCTGGATGATATTCAGTGGCCACGCTGGGGGCTTGGGGGATGAAGGTGCTGCTGAGGAGTGTCATGTACTCCACATGATGCCTTATGTACAAGCCACTGTCTGGAAGGATCTGACATGATGTCTCTTGCTCTGTTGGAACCATCTCTGTATCTTCCCCTATCGACTGCCAACCAAGAAGCTTAACCTGCTCTGTCCCTATTCACTTCCACTGGTCAATCAATGCCTCTCCCAATGGGACAACGCTGCACGTACCCACCTCCAGGCTGGGTGGCGGCACCTTTTCTCTGCCCCAATGGCTTTCCCTCCTTAATTTTATCCCAATCATTACTCTGCTGTGCTGTGTCTGCGTGTATACCTCTCTCTCCAACAGACTACGAGCTACTTGACGGTCCTGACAGTCATTTGTTTTTCTCTTTTGGTTCTCAGGAAGTAGCAGGACCATTCCCTGACACTAAATAAAGTTTTTTTTTCCCCCACGATTTATTTATTTAAGAGGGAGGTGGGAGGGATGGGAGAGGGAAAGGCAGAGGGAGCAGGAGAAGAGAGAGACTCCCAAGCCGACCCGCACTGAGCAGGGAGCCCGATGTGGAACTCGATCCCACAACCCGAGATCATGACCTGAGCCAAAATCAAGAGTCAGACACTTACCTGACTGAGCCACCCAGGCACCCCTAATGAAGTTTTAAATAACTAAGTGAATGAATTAAGTTCCCATTATTTCCTTAAAATTCCAACCAACACAGACTACTTGCTTTTTTCCTCATGTGCTCTGTTTCCTTATCTCTGAGAGAACTGTGTTTTCTGTTTCGTGAAGCTTTCCCAGCAGTACACACGACAGGGTGGCAGCAAGATCAGCTGCAAAATTTGTCAGATCCAGTGAAAAAACGAAAATGCCTAGTCACAGTGTCTGTGGGAATCCTACTTCAAAAACTATTAAGAATTTCAAACATGTGACAGCAGAGCACTAAATCAAGCACAGTGTCCTAAGTACTGGGTTCCCTGTGGCTGCGGAGGTCGCATATCTATAGATGTGAGGAAACCACCTTTCCCTTTCCATGTGTCTTAGACGGGACTGATGCCAACACTGCGACCCCAGGGGCGGGTGATCCTGGTCTGGTAAACGAGGGCATCACACCACCCAGGTCACGATTGGCTCAGGGATGGGCATGTGACTCCAGCTGAACCAATGAGAGCCATACCTCAGAATTTTGCTGCCCGAAGAAAGGTACTTTTTGCTGGTGAAACCAAGTTGGCAGGAAGTAAGCCTAGAGATCCCCTGGGAGTCACCCACTGGGGAAATTCTGCCTGAGATGAAGCTAATCCTGAAAATCAGAGCTGAGAAGATGGAGCAGGTAGGGGAGAGATTCTTGCCAGCATCATTTAAGTAGCTGGTTGAGCCCACTCTCTGGATTTTTCATTTTTAAAAAATCTGTATAAACCAATACATTTCCTTAGCTTAAGCTACCTGGCCTTGCATTTTAGTCACTTGTAATCAAAACAGACCTCCAACCAAAGGGTTGGAGCTTAATAAATACCTTTCAGTTTGAATAGACCAGCAGGGCTTGAAGGAATTCATTGTTTCCT